TTGGAACTCATGATTTCAAGATGTGTCTGTTAACTTTGAAATAGTGTTAATCCCGATAAGGAAAACTTCAAATTATAGCATCCACATCAGGAGCCTCCTTCAAAATAGAAGGAAGTCTAAGACCTTGAGCATAAAATGTCAACCAGCGCTAGATAATTTAGTATTGAAGTGACTAGAAGTTGCTAAATAATATTAACTCTCATTGAGCAACCTTACAATGAGGGCGACGAGAAAAAGACAGTGTTGACCTAAGAACCGCAATATTTCATAAACAGAACACTGGCTAGGTGAGGAAAGTAATAAAGCAGATGGTAGAGAAATGGGATTAATTTTAACCGTATAGATGACGGACATAATGATTATTATATTTAAGACATTATTTAACATAATGAATGATACAATAAACCCTTTAAACCGGTCCACAAAGTCAGGTATAATAAGAGTTGCTGTAAGCTTACTGACAGCCACATAAACCTCTATTTCGTAAATGCAATCTACACATGACCATTAATCAAACATTTTTTTTTTTTTATTTTTTTTTGTGTGTGTGTATGTGTGTGTGTGGAAAATCACAGAAAACAGAGATAGGTAGATCTTAGTAGTTAAAAAAAAGATCAAACACTATGGTAAATAGTGATCAATATTGCTATGATTGGTCAATATACTCTCACAATGGTTTATATAAATACAAAATACGTGCAAGGAGGGCGGAAGCATTCTAAATGGGTAAAACAAGTGTTGGTCAAAATTTAGTAGTTTAGTAAGAAATGTAATATTAATGACCCTCTTTACTCTTATGCCTAGGCCTACCTTTTAATTTTCTTGGTGAGGCAGGCTATAATAAGTATAGAAACAATGAGTAGCACCAGTCCAACCGATATACATATTATTTCCGCTAAAAATGAGGAATAAAAACAAGTAATGTGTTAAATAGTTCACAAAATTGGTAGACATAATATTAATATGGTTTTTGTGATATTGTATCTTATAACCTTATCATTTATCTTAAAAATCATAATAAAAATACGGTATGGGTACCTAAAACAAGTGAGTACACTTTACCCTCCTGGTGAACGTCTTTGGGTAGATTCATCGCCGAAACTCCGGCAGTTGTTTTGTTAATAACCCCATCGTCAGAGCTGTCACTTGCTGGCACTATAGAATTCGGATACTTTGTAATATTTCCCATCTGTAATATCGGTGTTTGTTTGTGTTCTCCTGTATTGATATCTGATGGACTTGTCATCAGGTAAGAAGTAGGTATTACAGGGGTGGTAGCAGAAACGATTCTGGTTGCAGGTAAAAATATAGAATCTAAAACAGTTTTGAAAAAGATATATCATGTAAACTGAACAAACAAACTTGCCGAAACAAAATGGTGAGCTTAGGCTTATAGAAATCGAACTAGTGTTCCAAATATCAACAAACAACTGAGATAATGCCGCCCCAGCTGAAGGAGTCAAAAATGATTCCCATTCAAAGTATTCCCACTCAAAGGGATCGAAAAGTAGCTCATCATTTGCTATTTAACTTTAACAGGTATAGTATTTTATACAAAAACTGTATATTCTCTGCTACCGTTTAATCCTATGCTGGTTCTAACAGTAACCCGACTTAAAACGTTGGATGTAAGAATCATAAAATATAGAAAATTATCAACGTACACATTTATTTTATACAGTTTATCCTGTACTAATGAATTTGTCTTCATCCACTTGGGAATTGTATGGAAATAATAATAATAATAATATTAATAATAATAATAATAATAACAATAATAATAATAATAATAATAATAATAATAATAATAATAATAATAATAATAATACTAATAATAATTCTGGATTATACATTACCAGAAAGGCGTACATTTTCATTATATTGGATCGACAGTAACGCTCTTGTATCTTAAGATATTTTAATGAATCTTTGTTTGATTGTGATTCAAATTATAAATTTGGCCTTCATGTTCCTGCTTTTAGTTAAAGAATTAATGGTTTAATGTTCATATTAGTAGAGTTAATGTTTTGAAAAAAAAATGTTTTTATCAGTAAATTAAATGAAATTATTTAGATCAAGCCAATAATGTTATAATGTACATATTGATAATTCTGATTTCTTATGTAGTTATTTGTAAGTTGTTTTTTTTTTTTTATTAATACTTTGTATTTGTTTCCTTTCCTTTGTATTATACCGACTAGATTTGTTTCAATTTTTTGGTTAGAGATATATAGATAAATAAATAAATTACATAAAACTTATTGAATGCAATCAATATACTTGAATTATACAAATTCCAAATAATAGGCCTATTATCAGTGAACAATCGATGTACACGTGTATCGTATTTCTGTTACATATTAGATGCAAAATGTCTCTAACTCGATTCGCGCGTTGGTGAAAGAAGAACAATACGGTAAAAAAAAAAACCCTCAAGAGCATACATAATTTAATTTAGTAAGCGGAACTTCATATAATTGCATTACAATTCCTTACCTACGGACATGCCTTCTATCCGAAGTTTTTGACAGGTCTTAAGAAAATCTGCATGAAGCAGAAGGGTTACAACATTACTTACTAGAATCAGGGAGCAGTTATTTTTGGTTTAAATTTTCAGATAGGCCTATATAATTATAATTATGGATATATGTGATGTCTCTGAACATAGTAAGTAAAGATACATCAAGCAATTCATATAATCTAAACTTACACACACACACACACCATCACAGTTTGCATGGAAACTTGTTTGTTTACCTTTGATCAATAACCATCCTCTTATAAGTTTATATTATGCTTGACAGACATGAGTGGCGACAAATTAGCATGGCACACACAATCACGGAGTAGTGTCGTGGGATGACATTAAGTATTCGTTAGTAAGTAAATAAATAATTAGAATAGTACTGTTCTCTAGGTAGTATATACATAGCCCAAAAAGTGGATAACGATAATTCATATCCACTACATATTTCGACTAATTTAGGCTATAAAATAAACTTCCGTCATTACCAAAATGTTATGGGTTATTATCACTAAGTGATTAATACATATTAAATCCCTGTCTTCATGTTATATTTTTTGTATATTTTAAATTAGGAATCTCGAAGAATTAAAAAATAATTAATTAGGATGTGTGTTTGAGAGATTAAGGGAAATACGATGGATCAATTGTCTAAAATTTAGATTAAATAGTCTTATGGATGTGAGAATTACGATGATCTAAGTAATTTGGGGCACACTTTTTAGTATTTTTAAATTAGTTTCTAACTTCAACAGTAATTCATGACAGGAAATAGCTCATCTCGTTAAGAAAAATATATGAATTTGACGCTATTTTTAAGTTATATTACCAAAACATTTACTAACATATTCATTGTTTTTTAAATCATTCTGTTCTTCGACACAGACAGTGGCATGTTAAATTTACTTTATGTTATGTTATTACAATATTTAAATATTTTCGACTTGAAAAATACATCATAATTGAAGTACGACATTTTGGTAAAGGGATTGACAAAAGTTTATACAATGACTATCTAAATACTGAACATATATATAGATGTATGTATAGGCTAATGTACAAATGCCAAGTTAAAGGGTGCACGCGTATGAATCTAGCTCTGATGGGTTTGGTGAAATGTGCACGTACAGCTCTCTTATCGGCATTGGCAGTATAACCACAAAATATCTGTGAAACAATTAAAACAAACAGTTTTAGAAACCATTACCATGAAAGAGTGGTTAAGGCTTTCTAAGACGCAAAGGAATAATCCAATTGAATTTATAGTATTTTGGGGTAAAGCGAGTGCGCCACCTATCATTATTACTTTTTTGACAGGAAATTGCATTGCCCAAATGAATTATGCAGTTCCTGGTTATGGCTCAACGTGACTGTGCCATATTCAAACGGGGCTAAAGAGATGATTTGTGACAGCAATGAATCGGAGTCATTTGAAAAAAAAAAATCAACAGAAACGTGCTGTCTTATCAAAATGTTCAATTTGAGACTATAAATCCAACCTATTAACAAAACAAAATCAAAAACGTTTGCGCAGAGCAGTAATCGCCAATAAACCGAACAACATACAATCTGTAGAATACCTACCACTTTGGTATTGTGTTCGTCTGTGATATATTCCCAACCGGAGATAAGATCTAGCTTATATTCTACTGCATAGGTTGACACCCACTGCATTGTGTCGTATCTCACTTGCACAGCTAACCCCGTGACGATGTAAATTTCGCCCAGGTCTACTTGTATCCACTGATGAATGTCGAGCTTGCCCGCCGACCATCCCCCTTTGCTTCTTGATTCTGCTAGGCTATTGAGTCTAGAGTACTGAGGCCCATACTTGATTCCGAACGAACTAGAAGCCGTGAGTGCAGACCCTTGAATAACTCCATTTTCTATGCCTAGTCCGTTATAGCAGGATTCTATTCGGAAAAGGTGTATTAAATATACATAGCATTATTGACTGTATACCCAATTAATTGATTACATATCTAATACAATTTTAAACATGAAAAAAATAAATATAGCCTAATAATAGTGAGTCTGTTAGTAGCGGTATACCAAAATACTAAAGGCAATAATAATACTGATAATAACCAAGTAAGAGTAATATTATTACAAGTAATAATAATAATTATCATGTTAATAATAGTAATAATAGTAATGATAATAGTAAAAATGATAATAAAGTGGGCCTGATCCCGTCCTTATGCAGCAAACAGTAGCGCAGCAAAGGGCGAAGATTTGTTTTCTCCTCATGCCAATCAAAAAGTGATGCGCTTTGATTAAGGAAGTGCCTAATAACCCTTAATAACCGATCAATCAATCCACCAAAGCACCCCCATGGCTAAAGTAAATGACAACACAATGTGTTAGTTTATAATCAATGCGGGTCCAAATACAACAAATACAAGAGTATCCATTTATAATATTTATAACGTATCAATATTAAATATGTTAGATAGATTCCATTTACCAAAGCAAGCTAGTATAAAATATATGGAGTTATAGGGAATATAGGGAATCAAATGTAAGACAAAATATCAAAATATTTATTTTTTTACAATTACAGGCCTATTGTAATTTCAATTATTCTATTACCACTCATAACCTATTTGATAAAATGACAAATAATAAGTAGACCTAAGTTTATCCTTCACTTTAATAAGTGATTGTACCATATGACATTGTCATCTGACAACTAGTAAATGAACTTAGCAGGTCATGATGACGTCATATGATGTGACAACGAAATCAAAGTACTAACACATCAACAATGTCACTTTTTCAGTTCGTTTATTAAAATTGGCGTAATTTCCTGTATATAAGGAATAGGTAGTAAATTTACCTTCTAAAGCAGGACTGTCCTTGACTTCCAACGTATCAATTGCAATGTCACCCATATCCCCAATTCCACGAATAGCTACAAATTGTAACTTTATTTAAGAAAACAAAATGCTGTTTAAATGCAAGTATTCAAGTTTTGGCCTAATAGTTGTATTGAAATTATTAGGCCAATGGACCTTTGTATTATAGGAAAATAGACAAGTATAGGAATTGAGTCCATTTTTCCTTTGTACACTCTCAAACGTGAGAGAAACAAATAATATATTGTCACAGTAGGCCACAGTATATTCTTAAGTTTTGTGCACACTATCAAATATCAAATTTTATATATTTGTGTGATGTGTATGATGTATGGGCCTATGTGTATGTATATATGTATATATGTATATATATATATATATATATATATGTATACATATATATGGGCCTATATGTGTATGCATATATAGGCTTATATATAAACATATATATATATATAAGCCTATATATGGGTATGTGTGAATGTATATGTGTATATATAATATATTTAAAATAAAAAAAATTGTATTCTTTCATTTCATGAAGATTATATTAAATAAAGTATGTTATATTATAATGATATACCGTATAATGTGATATAAAAAAATAAAATTATTCTATTAAACAATTTAAATTATATATTATTCCAAAATACCTTTATTCGATTATACACGATATGATATAATAAAAAAAATAAACGGTAATGCCATGAAGGTAATAAAGAAAATCGATATAGAAGGAAATATTGTACTGTACTGTACTGATTGTTTGAATAAAGGTAGTGGTTACGCCACGAAAGAGAAAAAAAAGTATTCAGGTTTTTCATTATTTTATTCATCAAATTCACATTCAATTTGAAACTGAATTACATTCAAGTACAATAAAATACAAGAAACAATCAGGTAGCAATTAAAAACCCACAAAAAAGCACACAAACATTTTAAATTTATCAATTAGACAACATAAAATGATTCAGTAAAAAGTTGAAAAAGTACATGACAATAAAAAGCAGTTCATTAAAACTTATTAAAAAAAACACAATAAAAGTGCCACAATAAATCGCTTATAATATGAAATACTCTTGATTTCCTGCACACTTTTAATGGGAAAGATACATAAACTTTTTTTATTGCATATATGTATTCGATTATACGTAATACAGTACTATATATTATAGGTATAATATACCAATATATGTTTGCGACCATGCTTACCTTAAAACGACGAGGGGAATTCCCTAATATCACGCAAGCATCTGTTTTTAGCCAATCATTGCCGGTGTTGCCTGACGATTCCCATACGTGTTTACTAGATGACGTAACACCATCACACACCTGTACAAGCACCCTCAGATGACCAACCTGCACTCCATACATATGCCGATAGAAAGAAATTGAAATGTTTGTAGATCTTGGTTCAATCCAGCCCGTCTGCATCATGTTTTTGTCTCCGGGCTTGCCTTTACTAGCTTCTGCGTACACATAGCGACCTTGTATGTTTAGAGACAGTATTAATGTTTAGTATAAACCAATTTAATTGAGTCACTTTTCACTAAATTATAATACTCTCATCATAATGAATGACGACATACTTCATCATTCTGTGAAATGTTGGTTTTAGCAAGACTGAATAAATTATCTCCTGTTTAAAGAATGCGGACACACAACCCATTTATCTTTTTTGCAATTCGAAAATAACACATGAAAAAATACTTTTCTGTCTATTACAATAACCCAGTTTCATATTAAAAATGAATAAATGCATGAAGGCCTCAAGTGAAATAGCCTGATATATATAGCCTGATACAATATAGTATTTCAATTTCAATATAGGCCTATTCAGAAAACCTCCGGAACGGAGAAGTAAAATAGTACATAATAATAATAATAATAATAATAATAATAATAATAATAATAATAATAATAATAATAATAATAATAATAATAATAATAATAATAATAAATAATAATAATAATAATAATAATAATAATAATAATAATAACAATAATATTATTATTAATAATAATAATAATAATAATAATAATAATAATAATAATAATAATAATAATAATAATAAAATAATAAATTATACATTTTTTAAAACCTAAGATGAAACATTTGGTGTGGGTTTTACTATATGAAAATACAACAGCGGGGGATCCAGAAATCCAGAGGAGTCCAGGAAAGAAATTTATCAGATGGAAAGTGGAGACAATTTTAGGCCAACCATGGTTTGGGTTGAGACGCGAAATATTATGCTTATGGTCTAGGTACTTCTAAAAGGTCGGAAATAACACTCCTCAATTTGAAGTGACTTTTCTGCCTTTCCACCATCGTTTAAATTTTCAAAAAAAAAAGAAGAAGTACCAGGTTGCCTGGACACCCCACCCCTCCCTACTTGAATTCACCTCTGGGTACAATATACTTGAACTGAACTTGATTTAGTAACCATAATTTTTGCGGTTTGTTTGTGTTTTTTCATGACTGGGTTGGATAACATTCCGATTCAGCCCTTGCTGAGCGTAACGAGTGTTTGTTGTATTGGCGTTTGTGATTTTTAAATTTACTTGATTCAGTACCGTTTGCACGAAAGAAAACATTGACATACCGGTACGATAACCTTTTGAATGAAAATTTCAAAATCGAACACGACTTAAATTAATAGTTCAGGATATATTAATTATAAATATAATTGATTGGAATAATGCCATCTAATGCTAAAAGACTTCTTGTGTCTACATCTACAAAATACATTATATTATTAACTATAAAGGTTATGTAAAATGAAAATAGATTTAGGTTTTCGGAACCAATAATATTATTACTCATTTGAACTCAATCCGACTTAAAGCAGGCGATGATTAAAAACAATCTAAAAACATATTTTCCTGTCGGCTGATGTTTACAAGAAAACAATACAAAAAGTAGACCTATATGTAATTACAACGGTTTTACTTTTAACCAACCAACTAAATTGATTGGTAGGTTGATCGTTTATTTGGTTGCAACGGTTTTACTTTTAACCAACCAACTAAATTGATTGGTAGGTTGATCGTTTATTTGGTTGGTTGGTTGGCTTGTTCGTCTGTCTGGTTGGTTTATTGGTTGGTTGGTTGGTTGGTTGGTTAGTTGGTTGGTTGGTTGATTGGTTGATTTTTTGGTTAGTGGGTTGGTTGATTGTTTGGTTGGTTGGTTGATTGATTGTTTGTTTGGTTGGTTGGTTGATGTGTTTGTTGTAGGTTGTAGGTTGGTTAGTTAGTCAATTTGTTTGTTTGCTGGTTGGGTAGTTGGTTTGTTGATCGATCAATATTGCCTGATTAACTGAATGATTTAGTGATCAGTGGCAGCGCCAGCGTCTATTTTTTTTTTTTTTTTTTTGGGGGAGGGGGTGGGGCAAGTGAAAGGCAAGGTCCCTGGCGGAAAAATGGGGTGGCGAGGAAAGAACATTTATTTTCAGGGGAAAAATTCCCCCTTGCCCCTTCAGCGCCGCCACTGTGAGTGATTGATTTACTAATATCTGATAGATTGAACACAATAAACAGAAGTATAGTATTGAAAATCGAATCCAGCTCTGTATTAATGGCCGAAACGATATAGGCTAGGCCTAGTGCATGTATGTGTGGACATCTGAGTACTCAAAGTGCTGCACGTGTGACTGGGAGAGACGATCGGGTGGGGTGATGGTTCAAGAGCACTAGTATTCATTTAAGTTCATATGCTAGTGATTCATAAATACTTCGAATATTTTGTTCTCCTCTATTCCGTCGGGTACTGACGTATTAGGTTTTAACACACCCACCGGTGAAGTCAGGATATTGGAATCAAATTCTAAGGTATAATACTATTAGCACGTGATTTGATTATCTCGATTTACACAAATCATAATAGGTAGAATATGTTCCAGGTTTGTTTCCTTACGGAGTGGATAAGTATTGTCTGTGTATTGTCATCGCATGCAGTATTCATTATAGTGTTTTTCTGAAACAATGGTTTTCGAGTTGAACAGGTAAATAAAAAGTCAATTTTCTAACACGTTGATTTCCTATTTATTGTAAACGCTTATATGGTTTGAATTCAACGAACATGTCTTTTATTTGAGGAGTTTAGTTGAAAATTGCATGAAAATTTTCTTTCATGAGTGAAAATTATTTTCGCCCTATATTGACAAAGAGGGCGTGTATGTTGTAATTTGTTGTAAGTTACAATGTCAGATTGAAGCGCTTCCATTTTTAACGCGAATGAAAGAATGCATAT